CTAATGGAAACACATCGATGAAATCATTTTTGAGGGACATTAAATGGAACTTAAAATAAAGCTGAAATGGTTTTATGGATTTTTCAGTCAAACTGTTTATGAACATTCATTGCCTGTAAATTATATTGTGTCAAAAGAAAGAACCAGTAGGTATCATTTTATTAGGAGTCTTTTTGAAATAATAAAATCGAGAATAATATATTATCCAAGAATGGTAGAAGGCAGGTTTGAGGATGTGTATCAGTGATGGCTATCTGGAAAAGTAAGAAATGTGGACATCAGAAACCTGGTAGGATTTAAAAATAAAGGTCTTTTTTTAAGTGTTAATATCTCATCTCATTGTAGATATGAGTTGGTTTGGGAAGACAGGTAACTGGGGACTTAAAGGCAAGCACTACTTGACATGATCCTTGGTATTTGTTTAGACTCGGATAAAAAGGAATAAGTACAGGGCAGATGGATCTGCTGAGAGATCACCTGGAGCAGATGAAAAGAGCATTGGATCTGGAAGTGAGGCTGAACTTAAGTTTCCAACCCCAGGCTCCTCAGCTCTATGACAATGGGACAGTTTTCATGTCCCCAAGGCACAGATTGCACATCCATAAGATGCTCAGTCTCTTTACCATAAGGCATGCATACATGACAGCATGTGTGTTGAGGTCTGAAGACTTGTCTTTTAGTAGAGTCTCCCTGTCTAATGTAAGTTCCAAGATGAATTCAGGTGTTCATCCTCACATGACAAGTGATTCACCCACTGGGTTATTTTGCCAGCCTATGTTCCTTCTTTTCCAAGAAGAAAATAGAGTGTCGTGAGAGTTACATGTCGATTTCAGGGTCCCTCAGCAAACTTCAAACTTCTTGAAATTTGAGTCTAAAGTCATGGCCTTTGGTGTGTAGATACACCATTGGTCAAATCCCAACACACAACAACTCAGAGATTATTGGATTAGATGATGAAAAAACAAGGAAATGTGGGCATCTTGCCTTTCCCTCCTTTCCCACAGAGAGTCCCGTTTCCTACCCAGAGATGCCCCTCTGGTGTTTGTTGCCTTATTTTTCAGTAGGTGGTGCATTCAGCTGTGTGGGAACTGCTTAGCTACACATCACTAATCACAGAAAGTTAAAAGAGGAATGTCTTGTTGTAGCTTGCAATAGAAAGTTCAGTGTGGTCGTTTATTTCTGTGTGTCTGAGAATGTGTGAGGAAGGACATGGCAGTCAGAGATAGGAACAGAAGCTGTATGTCACATGACAAGCAGGAAGCAGAAGGAAACAGACACAAAAACCAAGTTAAGATAAGACACAGCCTCGAACATCATATCCCTACCTCTACTTTCTTCAGCTTGCAGCCTTTTCTAAACCTCCTAAGACCTCCCAAAATACCAACGACAGCTAGGGACAAAACAGTCAACACATAATCCTGGGAGAGGCATTTGACATTCAAACAAAAATAGCCTAACATGGATAATGCAAGGTAATAATAGTCTTCAAAGCCAAATTTAGTGCATGTTCAACAAAAGATACATGATAATCTAAAATCCAGTCTGTCCTACACTTACACAAAACTACAATGAGGGAATCTCAGGGTGAAAATTAGTAATTTATGCATAATAAAACTTTCAATATTCTTAGGTAATTCACCTAACAAGTTGTCAATTTCATTATGTGTATACTTCAACATGTTTGAAATGCTATGGGATCTTAAAAAGCAAGAATTTCAGTTCTGCGGAGATGCTCAGTGGGTAAAGTGCTTGTCATGCAAACACAGGGACCTGGGTTTGGGTCCCCTCTAGCTGTATAAAAGGCAAACTTGGTTGGAATACATTTGTAACTTCAGCACTGGGAGGTGGAGACAGATGGATCCCAGAGGCTTGTGAGATAGCCAGTCTGGCCACAATAATTCTCTGCAAGTTCAGTGAGAGACCCTGTCTTGACAAATAAGGTAAGGCATCATTGAAGAAGAGCCCCCCAATATCAACTCTAGTTTCTACATGAACATGCATGTGTAAACACACCTGAGAACACATATATACACACAGGCAAACACACAAAGATATTTTTAGAATGAGAAAAGCTTGAAATGGCTCATACTTAATGTTTCTGTCCACCGAACATGGCAATTCTATGAGGTTGCTGCAGGGAATATGAGCAAGTATATATGATGGAACCTATAGGATTTACTCAAAATCATTAACTTATAAGTTCCTGCTGATCATCAAGCTGTTCCTCCTGTGGCTATGTGTAATGTGAGGCCAAAGCACTACTTTCTGATTTACTTGTAGCAGTCTTTTGCTGCTATCATAAGATTGAATAATTTTGCAGTTTCTGCATAAGTAAATAAACAAATTCATTTTTATGGACACATCGTTATACCAAGATGAATCTAAAATGAAGTAATAATTACAAATGAGGAGTTTCTAGGTGGTATAAACATGCATGAGAGTGCTAGAAATTTGCACATGAGTGCAAGATACTCCCCTTTTCTTAACCTCATCAAACACATACAGCAAATGTGAAGCCCAGAACTTCTTCAAAATACAGGATACCACCCCAGCTATGTTTAATTGGAAAGCTAATGTCCAGAGCAATTGTCCCTGATACACTGCAGGTTAAATGATTTGAAATCACTTAGGGAGCATAAAAATCAGATAATCGCTATGTTTTATAGCTTGAAAGGTTCAGCTAATGTTGTCAAGTGGAATAGATAGAGGCTGATAGCTCAAGCAGGAGCTGAATGTCTCTATTGGACTGGGGATCAATGTTTATACTCAGCATAGAAATCCGTACTTCAAGTGATCTCCCATAATGTTCCATTTGCAGAACTTTTCAGAATCATAATGCAGAACATAGTTTACAGAAGAAGCTTTAGCTTGACACTAGGCAAACACCACCATCTAATCCCATGTGACACAATCTGTACTGCATGTCAGGGAGAGGGCCTCAACTGCTGTATTCAAAGCTTCCATTCAGGTGACCATTAATAATTTATAAGAGACAAGATTTAAAATTTCCCATTTCAAGGCATCTTTTTAAAGATCCTTTTTCTTTGTTTTTGAGAAAAAGGCTATCAATTTTAGAGTGAGGAGTAGAAACATGGGAGGGGCTCAAGGAGGGAAAAGGAACATAATGGAATTGTGTTTTAATCATAAAGTACTTGCTTGTCTTCTTTTTGGAAACCCAGGGAGGGCAGGCTTCCTTCTAGCCTCACTGTAATATAACAGGAATTGCCCCTGGTTTTTTTTTTCAAGGCTTGCTTACAGGAACTGATTCAATCATGTCCTGTCAGAAGCCCTGAAACTAGTGGCAATATGCATGCTCTCCACTCTAACAGCATGCTGCAGATGCCCTAGATGGCCCCACATGCACAATATCTGTTTTGTCTTTTCTCTGTAGGAGCTGAAGGCACAGTCTTTCCCAAATCCATAGAAACACCTAATGTCAGAGCAGACCCCTTCAAGGAACTAAGGTAAGCTTCTGGCTTTGATTTGCATTGATCAGTGGCTGTTTCCTGTCTGTGGTGGGCCACGGACTCATTTTGAATAATGCTGACATTTAATTTGTATTGAACATGTTAACTGGGAGAGATTGGAGAATTACTCAAGACAGTGATAATTTTTTTAATATTTTTTTTTCATGAGTGCTTAAGGAATTGATGGTCTGGGGTGAGAAGTTGCCAGCTATGGAAAGGTGATTGGTGATTAGATTTCTGGGTTGACATTGTCTATTTATTGCTTATTTCTAGCTTTCTACAAATCGATAGAATTAGAAAACAAATCACAATTGATATGGATCAACTGCCCCAAAAGTATTATCTAAAAGAAGTTTGTTTCTAACCCAATTTAAATGTCTCCCATGTAACAGAATGTCTAATACTTGATGTCCTATAGCACTGGGAATGTATTCTCTAGATATTCTTTGCATCAGTGTTGCTCTTCAAATATCCATTAGTGTGGGTCTTAGCAGGGCAGGCATCTGAGATGCTTTACAGTTGTCACCAACCATGTAAAATGAAAAATAGCAATATACAGACAGATGGATATAGAGATACAGCCTAAAAGCCATCCTAGGCACTAACAGCCCTACAAGAGAAACACATTCAAAACAGTATGTTGATATAAATACAACTGTGGTTTCTTAGGTAGGATTATAATCATCCAGAAGCCAGGGGAATGCTGGTTTTCTTTGTGTTTGATAATTCTTTGACCTGACACCAATGGTAAATCACCAGGACAGACAGCATTGGCTAACTACTTCATAATAGAAGTCAACTATAATCAAATGCATCTGCATTGCATAGGCTATATCCTCTCTTTCAGAATGTACACTCTCGATCTGTGCTTTCCTGAAATGGCCACAGCCACAGGGGAACCTGTATTCCCTTAACAGAAACATATTCTCAACCATGAGAAATATATCACTTCATTCCCAAAACCCAGGCATTTCTTCAAAATGTAAACATCCTAAGGATAAATGGAAATAGATTGAGAGAAAAGAGGGAAAATTTTAGGGAGTGAGAACCCCGCCACCCAAAAGAATCCCAAATAAGGTGGAGCTGTAGTTTATAGGCCAGCTGCCCTGCATGTGTATGAGCATGCCTGTATGTGCATGCATGTTTATACATGTGTGGTGAAGTTGGTACATACACCAGATATCTGCACTTTCACAGTTACTACAGCAAGTCTCACAAGGGCCAAGCAGAATCAACTCACTTGTGTCTTAATGGATGAATGGATAAAGAAAATGTGGCAGATGTGTGATGTCACTGAATTTTAACTCAGAAACTGCATCAGAAAGAAAGGCAGTCTCTGGAGTTTTAGGAATAAGAATTCAGGACTCCAGGTTTGGACAGCCTGAGTCAGTGTTCTGAGAAAGGCATGGGGAGTCTGAGTTTAGGTGGACCATTGGCTGTAGAGAAGGTAAAGAAAGAAGTGTAAACTGAAGTTGGAGTCCAAACACCAAGTGATGGACATCCTGAAGTTTAGAATGCAAAGGCATTGACTTGTGGTTCCTGTATTGCTGATGCTTCATGTAAAAGGTTCGCATTTTAGGTAGCAGTTGGCAGTTGGAGTCATGCCTAACCTTATGTACTAATGGCTCCCTGACTCCATTTTATAAAGTTCTATCAAAATTGCTTTTATAATAATTATTATTTTTTGCAACATGAAAGCCATAAAAAGTATGATAGCAACATATGACAGCATGGATGAACTTAAGGACATTATGTTGAATGAGATAAGGGAGATACACAAAGAAAAATAGTGTGATCTGATTCATATATTAAACCTAAAATAAGTAGATTGTATAGTATAGGTAGAATGGTGGTCATTATCAGTAAGAATATGAGTACTGGAAATTGGAAGAGCTTAGATAATGGGTACCAAATATGCATTATACACATTACATTGAAATCTGTTCTATTGTACTGTGTAGACAGGTGCTATAATTCACAGCCTATCACATATCTTATAAAGAACCAGAAAAGATGGGTTGAAAGATTACATCACAAAAAGTGACCACTGTTTAAGAAGGTACAAAGGCTAATTACCCTCCTTTAATCATTATTATATCCTATCAAATTAGCATTTTCTCCTCATAAACACATATTATTAAAATAAAACCATAGCAAAAGGATATTTTTCAATACATCAGTTCATGCTGGAAAACATAGGACAATGTTTGCTCATAGTGTGCTGAGGCTAAGCTTTCAGTGTCTACTCAAAACCTAAGAGAAAACTGGAAATTTGCATTAAAATATGTTCTCTCTAAACTTTCTGAGAAAATGAGAGTGTAGTTCAAAAACATAAAATTATGGGCAAAGTCCACAGATGATCAAAGTAATGTTTTCTGATAAGAATTATCCTCATTTCATTTTGTTGCTATGATTAAAAAACACTCTGATTAAGCAACTTGGGATGGGAAGGGTTTGATTGGCTTACACTTTGATTGAACAGTCCATCATTGAAGAAGTCAAACTTGAACAATGAGTCATGTTGGAATCCATGGAAGCATGCTTCTTCCGGGTTTACCCTCTAGGTCATGTATGTTATGCTTAACTAGCTATTTATACAGCCCAGGACCACCTGCATGGAAAATGGTGCCATAACAGTTTATCAAGGTAGCCCTCACAGGCATGCCCACAAACCAACCTGATTTAGATAATTTCTTAAATGAGGCTTCTCCTCTCAGATGACTCTAGGCTGTGTCAAAATGACACTTAGGGCTGACTAGGACAGACATCCTTGTGTTATCCTTACACTGTTTTGTTTGTCCCTTTTGTCCAAATCATGGTAGTCTGAGTCCAGTTGAAAATACAAAATATCATAATTTGGCCCTTTCTTCTTTCTAGAATTCTTTTTTCTTATTGGCATTATCTTAGGGTTTCTATTGTTGCAATGAAACACAATGACAAAAAAGCAAGTTTGGGAAGAAAGGTTTTCTTTGGCTTAGATTTCCATGTCATTAATCATTGTTAAAGGAAGTCAGGACAGGAACACACATAGGGGAGGGTCTTGGAGGCAGGAGCTGATGCAGAGGCAATGGAGGGGTGGTTCTTACTGGCTTGTTCCTCCTGGGGTGCTTAACCTGCTGTCTTATAGAACCCAGTTTTACCAGCCCAGAGATGGTACCACCCACCAGGGGCTGGGCCCTCCCCCATTGGTCACTACTTGAGAAAATGCCTTACAGCTGGATTTTTGTGGAAGCTCCTTCCTCTCTGATTACTCTAGCATGTCAAATTGATACACTAAA